CTTTGTATTCAATTCAGGATTTCTATGCAGTTTGAGGCATTTTGACTTTAATTCATCACTTGTAATTGAAACCTCTATGAGAAAGCAATTCAAGGACTTGAAGAATTAAGACTAATCTGCATTTTTCTGTCTTCTTTAAAATGGAGCATATCATACATTTTCATAGATAAGGAAAAAATTCTGTTGCCATTACACTTGAAATCCTGCCATCTGTGCCTACATTTATCTTTGAGATCGCCTTAGGACACTTGGTTAAAAAATCTACAGTCTTTATAACATAATGAGGAAGTTCTTCACAGTCTTTTAAAAAAAATCTTTTTGCACATTCCAGAAACAGCATCAGTGCTGCAACTTGAGAAATACTTGAAATAAGACTATTAATTTCCTTGCTTCTGTGGCTAATGACTCCTAAACTTGCTGAATGTTTGGCATCTGAGGCATTGTCCCATAATTCCAAGGTTTGAGAGTGGGATGGCCTCCAGGGTTGTGGAGTGGCTGTGTTGAAACTTCTATACACTGTTTAGGAACCGTGGTGCCTTCATCAACTTACGACTCGTCTAGTTATGATTCCAGAGGAAACTAGGTTAGCAAAAGACGGTCAAATCCTATGAGAAAACCAAACTACATCAGGAAAGATTATTAGATCCTATTACCTAAGGAACTTCTTATATAGAAACAGCTTAACGTGCATGTCGTAGGTAGAAATAGTCAATTATTTTTAATCACATCATCAGCAAATCATAACTCATGTGTTTTCCTACTGATTTTTTTTTTAAGTGAAGCTGCTTCCATGGGTACTACCTTATTGAAAGTCTTGGTTTAGAATAGCAATAATGTGAGCAGTAATGTTTCCCTCCCATTGGATTGTTCTTGGAGCCACAGAAATACCAAGTTGACATATTAAAAAAAATAGTTATGGGAAATAATTTCGTTAGTTCTTTGAGACCTATGTACAGTATGGTTAAGTGCCTCTTTGGCAGTGGAGACATTGTCAACAGAAAAGGACCTTTGGTTTTTCCACATTATTAACTTCTTGTTATTAACATCTTACTGAGCACTGGGTATGTGCTTAGCTTGAGACTCATGCCCCATCCAGGTTGAATGAATGGGCCAGTTGATGCTCTCCTTCCCATGGCTTGATGCTTGCCATCTCTGCTTTATAGTCATCTCCAGTTTCTATCTAGGTCATGTTTACCTTAACGCAGCTTGAACCATGATCACTACTTTTATTAAAATTAGATTTTTCTCTATAGAATATTGAAACCCAAAATAGCACAGACTTAAACAAGAGAGCAGTGTGTTTTTTTTTTTTTTCTTATCATTGTTGTTGCTGGTTGGTTGGTTTGGTTGTTTTTATGGCACCGTTTTGGACTTTGCCATGTATTATTTGAAAATTTAAATGAATTGGCTAGCACAGTGACCTGCCTTGCCGCCTACTGAGATGTCTCATGTTAGCCTAGGAAACAAGCCCCCTTTGGGTCTTTGGAAGCGGTGTGAGGATAACTGGGCAAGATTTCTCAAAGTGCCCTCATGGGCCGTCTGTGTCAGAGCAACTGTTATAAAATGCAGATCCCTGTGCCTCATGCCCGGAGATACGGTTTGACAGATCAAGGATAAGGTCCAGAAATTTTCATGTGCCACAAACTCCCCTAGATAATTTGGGAACCACTGATGAGAAAAGAAGGAAGGTAGGAAAGAAAGGGAAGGAGAAAGAGACCAATTAACAATTTCCCTGTCTTTTAACGAATTCTGGTAAAATAGCAGCAAGGGCTCTATTTCCAGTCCTGGCTCCTGATCTCACAGTGGGGCCTGTTGCTTCTAGGAATTAAGAAGCTTCTCAGAATTAATGTTCAACTAAGGAAAGGGCTTAGTTCCCCCCTTCCCCCAGGAAGCCTGGAGACAGACCACGGAGCACTGGAGTGGAGGATTCCTAACTCATCAGCAGCCAGGGCCCCTTGTTCTTATGGTCCTAGGTGGCTGCTGCACTTTCATTCAGAGGACACATGAATTCTTGCTCCCAGTGGCAGGATGCAGAAGGGAGGAAGCTGAAGTAAAGGCCCCCTCCATTCTAAGGATTCTAACCAGGCGTAGCACAAGAAGGTTCCATGTACACCTCCTTGGCCAGAACTTAGTCTGTGACAAGATATTTGAGATACGGAGTTTTACCTGGGCAACTATGTGTATAGGTAAAATGCTCAGTAAAACAAAACAAAATAAAACCCAGCAGAAATAACAAACAACCCTCCTGCAGGATTCTTTTACTAAAATGAAAACCTGTCATGATTGCAGCAGAGATCAGTAATGGTCTCATGCTTCCTAAAGCTACCTAAGGAAATCCCGAAGGTTTCCTTAACTCTTTTTTTTTTTTTCCCCCCTTGGTTCCTTTAATTCTTGAAGAGTCATTTTGCCACTTTTAAAAACCAACTGTCCTTAACATCTTATTTGCTTATGCCTTCTCCTACTTCTGTTCCCTGGAAATGGTAGAAAAATCTCCTAATATTATAGGCAGATCCATTGCCTATAACTGCCATTAGATTTTGTTGGTCAACCCCAATTGGATCTCTACATTTAAAATTGTGAACTTTCAGCTGGTTTTTTTTCACCATTTTTATTTTTATTTTTTTTTCTTTTTAAATTTATATATGACAACAGGATGCATTATAATTCTTACTATATATGTAGAGCACAATTTTTCATATCTCTAGTTGTATGCATAGTATATTCATACTAGTTCTTGGTTTCATGCCTGTACTTTGGATAATAATGATCATCACATTCTACCATCATTAATTACCCCATGCCCCCTCCATTCCCCCCAACCACTCTGCTCTATCTAGAGTTCGTCTATTCCTCCTATGCGCCCTCTCTCTATCCCACTATGAATCAGCCTCCTTATATCAAAGAAAAAAATTCGGCATTTGTTTTTTTGGGATTGGCTAATTTCACTTTGTTTTTAAGCAGTTGTTTTAAATACTCCATATTCCACTCTAATTCCATATTTCCCCCTCTTATTTTATGTTTACTTTCTTATAAATAAATGAGCTTCATGTGCCTCTCTGCTGTGTCTGCATGTATGTCAGTCCCAGCCCCTTTTCTAGCATGAACGCCTGGTGTGGGGACTCCATGTCTCCGCACCGCCCTGTGGAGTGGTTTCAGATCAAGAGGGCTTTGTGCTCTGTAAACTTGTCTTTGAAGGAATAAGTGGGTAATTACCTTTCTCTCTTCCTTCCCCCTGTTTAGAATATAGGAATGCTTTTATATTTTTACTGTCTGTCCTTTCTTCTTAATTTCCCGGGTGTACCCTAACTCTGTAGTCTCTACGATCTGGAGTCTCCCTCTGTAGATTTGCAGGTTTTTCTTTGAGATTTCTGCCCTTTTCATTGTCCTTTTCTCATTGTTGGGTCCCCTTGACTTTGTTGCTGCATTCTGTGTTCTTGAAGGCACCTTCTTGGCTTTGTCTCCAGATTCTCCTACCTTCCTGTCTTTTCCTTCTGCCCCGTGGCAGTGTGCAAACCCCAGGGATTTTGCTTTTGTTCTTTATTTTGACCTTTCTGTGCAGTATGGTGGCAGCTTGCTGGTTCTTACCTTTTCCTTTTGCTCTTACCTCTGTAAGGGTACTTCCCCAACCTACATCAAATGCTTCATCTGCTTGCTCCTGTGTTGCTCTTAAATACATCCCGAGTGCCTCAACTTAAGCTCCTGTCATCTTAAACATCAGGAATTTGTGACATTAGTATTGCTATCCTAGAGTCATGCCATTAGGGCATTGTTTATAAAACCTGTAGTAGTAACCCTAATGGCTAAGGATAGCAGCTTCCTGTGGGCTATCTCCTTTGTTTCTAATGTCTTTTTCTTTATTCTTTCCAACTTCTTTTTCTTTGTGAGATCAAGTTCAAAGAAGTACACTTTGCTAAGGTTCCTAGGATGACACCAGACCTTACTGACTCCCTAGCCTTTGTACTCCTGCCATTCTCATTGATCTGTTTATCTGGTGCTTCTCATACACTCATATTGTATTGTTGAATAAATCATCTCTATGTCTTACTTCACATATAGCCTGTAATCTTATTCCTCTTGGTATTCCCAGGGCCTGTTATGAAATTGGCTCTCAATAATGTTTGCTGTGGATGATAATAATGTTTGCTATCATCTTCTTATCTTGTTTCTAGTAGTGAGATGGCATAAAAAAACAATTAATTTTTTGAATCACCAAACAAACATTTTTATTTTCTGTAAGTGGAATGGAGGGTATTTGGACTGAACTGAATGATAGATTTTCAACAGCTTTGCATTGTTTGAAGTCTATAATAAATGGCATGGGATGATTGTTGGAAAGTAACTTTTCTCCATCTTTCATAGTCTTTTGAGTGGCATCTAAAACCCTGAAATAAAACGATCATAGAAAGACCTACTAAGACTTTGTGAAAACACATGCAGGGTTTTGCATTGGAATGTTAAAGGTGGGGTAGAGATGGAGGAAGCAGAGAGAGGGGAGGGGAGACTAGGAATGAACATGAACAGAGGAAATACACAGAACCCCCACCTTGGGGTACAAAATGTCAGGATGATATAAACCAGCCTGTGGGAGGGGAATTCTATCAAAGAGGTGGATAGAATATGAGGATGAGAATTCATGTCAAGAGTTCTTCATTTACTACAGAAAGTTTACCTAATCGTTTTTTATGATGAATTGTGTTTATACTGAATTCTTCTGTAATACAGGAATGTGACAGACTTGTTGAGTAAAGTAGGTCTAGTTAGCCTATGATTCCTCTTGAAATGAAGGCTTGAGGGGTTATCTGTGCTTGAAATGTAGCTTTGTATACACTAAAAATCTGCACTAGTGGGGTGTATTTCCAGACCCAGATAAGAGGTCTGGAAATTAATCAAACAGAAAAGACAAAAACAAAACAAAACAACAACAAAAATCAACCAAAAAATTCAGTTCACTTACTTATTTTACCTTCTTCTTCTTCTTCTTTTTTTTTTTTTTCCTGTAGGAAGTTTGAAGTTCTGCCTTATGATTCTTAATCAGCCTCTGGACAAGTGTTTTCGTCATCTTTGGGAAAAAGGTATTCTTAATTAGCATTTATATTTCTTTGTGTTCTTACTCTATTTAGGAGTGAATAACATGACTATTAAGTATCCTGGAACCTAAGTGAACCACCAAAAAGTGGTTCAATTATTTAATTGATAAGAATTCACTATTGCTTCTTCATTAGCCTTGAGGTGATTGCCAGAGCACACACCTTCAAGCAGAGAGTACTGTATTTTAGAACTAATATGTGTGTATTAATCCTGAATAATCAATAAGTATTTGTTCACATGTAAATAGCTTTGGGACCAGTGAGAGCAGATAGGTATCTGCATGCCTTACTTGTCTTAGCATCCCGTGATAAGGTAAGGACAGCTGATCAGATTTGCAAGATTAAAAAAGAAGACCTGCAATCTATTAGACTCTCTATGGATGCTGAGAAATATAGTTACAAATGGTATAGTTTCACAGAATTGATACTTCTGGGACATTTCATGTAAAAAATCAGTCCTTGTTAACTATTTATTTGCAATATCCTTTGACGTTTATGGGATTAACTCTATGCTAGAAAATAATATTAAATATCACTTGGTATTTAGAACTTTTGTTCTTCTTTCATGAATTCATAAGGTTATTTTTACCCCCAAAGGAATTCTTCTGCTGCATTGTCAGTGTAAGTTTTAGACCAAAGTAGATAGGTGGAAGAATTTGAGTCTTAATCCACTTACGCATGTCCCTGTGGTGGTTCTTGATCATCTCTTGCCACTACAGAACTCTTCAGTGTTCTCAAATTAAGGTTCTGTGTCTTACAGGGCAAACCCAATATGCTAATAAGCTCATGTCTATAGTCAGAGATGGTGTGAGGGAATAAATGGCCACACATGATACTGTATAAGAACTTGTCTGATAAAATTAAAAGGGAAACTCTCAGTATTCTATACACAGCTCCCTTTAAGTCAGTCAGCGTATAATTTCGTGTTATAATTGTACTAACATTGCCCTCAGGGTTTGGAAATAATTTAACAGTATTTATTAGTATGACATATAGCCTCAAGGTCCTTTTTGGCTTTTATCTCTAGTACCCCGTGCAGTGATGGCCACATACTTGCTCAGTAATTATAATAAATGAAAAATTGAATTTAATCTGATTCAAATTGCCAGTAAATATCAAATAAACTGATTAGCTACATCCTTTTGAATATAAATTTATTGTATCAGATTTTATTTTAGTATTAGGAGAGTGATTTTTATTGCAAATATTAGAGACAAAATAATTTTTGCTACAAACTGTTGGA